GATTATATTTAGATTTAGTTTTATGCATAGAAATTATGTAACAATAAGCATGAAAAGCGTTAAAACTTTACAATATTTCTATTGTGAATGAAACATTTTATTAAAAAAAAAAACTTTTTTTTATACATATTGAAAAATCATAAATAATTAATTAATAAGTAAATATTAATTTTCTTATCCTATTATATATTTGTATTTTTTTTTTCTTTTATAGTAAAATTTGCATTTTTTCTATGAAAAAAGAATGGACAATAATGATGATCATCAAGATTTGTATTAATTTATGTTTTCTCTAGCGAATTAACTTATTTTAAATAGAATATAAGTTAATTTATATTAGGCTAATTAGTTTCTTAATTTTATTGAAATCAAACTTTTTGGTTACTAAGAAACATTAAAATAATTGTTTTTTTTTAATTCAATTATTTTAGTTACCATAGTAAATACATTTATTTTAATTGAATAATCATTTGAACTAATTAACAAAATTTAGTGCATAATTTGAACTATTTGATTCAAATTGATTATATTTATTTCAACGTAAAATTGAGTTACGATCATTTTGTTGGTGTTATTAAGTGTGTTATTTATATTCTTGTTTCTTGTTTTGTTTCGCTCTTGCATGTGATTGCATTGTTTCTACTTTTTCTTCTTCTGTCTCCGCGTTCGTTGTCGTGGAATGGTTTGGTCGTAATAAGCATGTTAATGTTATTTGATTGTTTTATGCAAATGCCCTTTTGGAACACTAATCATGCGACCATTAATAACCAAGATTTATGTCGCGTCGATATTTCGGCTTTCCTCTCTAATGCGATATAAATTAAATAACACGCACCGCAAATGGAATGAAGGGTGGAAAGAAGGGTTTTCGGCTTTCTGGAGGAGAAAGCCACCGTTTCCATCGGATTGTGTGTGTGTGTATGTTGTTATTACTGTTGTAGGTTCGCGCGATTTACATTCTCCGTATGCATGCATGTACAATTGATTACCAAATTAAATACAATTTTGCGTATTTAACCTGAGGTTTTGGTCATTAGTTTATGATAATGGTAGAGTTTAAGTGGTGAATACTGAATACGGCTAACCCCGGCGCATCCACCAAAAAATACTTAAAAAAATAATTGGTTATAATGCGATATTGATGGTTTTGTATTGTGGATAAAAGAGGGTTTGGCCCTTCGTCCGTCGTCCGCACGGTGAAATCCCTATAGCTTACGGTCATTCAGCTCTCGAGCACCCTAATTTATCCACTACGATAAAGTCCAAATAAACACTGATTTCATTATTAGTTTACTAAAAGAATCTTTATGTTCTGATTTAATATACTAATTTTAGATGATTTTTTTTATTAAATCATCAAAATATTTCAATTGTTGGTCTTTGAAAATAATAATTATTTTAATCTAATCTTAATGTAAATGTAAAATTTTCTTTATTGGTAATTTTAAGCATTTTTTTTTTAAATTTTAAAATCAGATTACAAATTTCGATTTACTAATTGAGAAAATTATTTACAAATAATTAACGTATGAAATCTATATATAAAAATAACCCATTTTTTTCTAAACCAATTACTAAATACAAGTGTTGATCATAATTAAGTCAAAATCACAGTTAATTGCATAAAAAAAATCAACAAATTAATCTATAGCATTTGATAATGTAATTGAAAAGTTTACCAATTTCATCAAAATAAAAAGAAAATCTATTGTTAATAGATTAAGTTAAGTTTCTTTAACTGATGATTATATAAAATTAACCATGCTTTTAATGATATTTTTAATGCCACAGACATTCGCACAAGAATTACCAAAAAAAATATGAAACTATATTTTTAGTTTTCGAATTGGTGAAACAGATGAAATCATTTATTTAGCTTGATTTGTGCTACTTTCATTATAAGTATTCATTTTTTATTCAAAATTGTACACATTTACGCTATGTTAGTATTGAAACCTGAGATACTATTATAAGTTAATATATATATATAGATATAGATGAGGAAAGTTGATGTCTTTAAATAAACATGAATATAATTGAGTTTGTTTAGTAAGTCAGTTACGTGGGATGGCTGAAATCGATGAATGGGTAATTGAAAAATCGTTTGAAAAGGTGAGTTTCCAAAGAAGGGTTCTTGCGTTGCGGGTGGAGGGAGAGAAGGTTGCATGTAAGTAAGTATGTGTGGATCGGTGTGAGCGTGAGGGAAGACTAAGAAAAGGTGGCGAGGATTGCGAGTGTGTGGTAGAGGAGTGGAGGAGGAGGAGGAGGAGAAGAGTGAGTATGTGTGTGGCGCGTTGGCGCTCTGAAACCGCCTCTCCGCAGACGGCGGCATCAAGTGCTCTGCTGGATGCGAGCTACAACAGTTGCAAAATAAAACACCGCTCCCTCATGTGATTCTCCATGCATACGTGTGTTTTGTGTGTGGCTGTGTGTGATGCGGGGGGGTTTCTTATTTTTAATTTTCTTTTCTTTGTTTCGTTCTTTTCTCATTTGCGCGGGGGTGGCGGTGTTTTGGTGGAGGCGCGGGGCAAACTGCCGCGTGTGTTTATGAGTGTGTGTGTGTGAGTGCGCGCGAGAGAGGAGGCGGCGGAAAGATAATGAAGAAGAAGAAGAGGAAGAAGAAAGTCCGAGAGATGGGAGCGCGTTAGTTAAAAAGAAAAGTAATGTGGAAGCGTACATCATTTCTTGGTGCATTTATGCAAAGTGCGCGTGGCGCTGAAGGGACGAAAACTGTGTATGTGTACGAAAGAGAGAGAGAGAGAGAAGACGTCGAGAGGGGTGGTTGTGTGTGTGTGTGCAGTGAGAGAAAGGGAGAAAAGGGACGGAATTGTCGCCGTCCCGCTCGGCAGTAATTAGTGGTCGAAGGGATAGAGGGAGAGAGAGAGCGGCGGATGCGGCGGGTAGCGGAGAGAGGGTTGGAAGCGGAGCACGGGGTGAGCGCGAGTGAGAGAGAAAAGCGCGCGGAGGGGCGGCAGCAGCGTGCTTCTCGCGTGTGCTCATGTATACGTATACACACTCACACACGTACATATACATATACACATATATATGAGTGTGTGTATGTGTGTGATTCTAACGACGGCCAAGTATACGCCGCCCCTTAATTTATATCTAAGGGTAAAACACTGAGAGAGTAAAGGAGAGAAGGGAGCCATAAGGCGCAAGCGTTCTTCCCTCTTGCAAGCTTTGTCTAATCGGATTCATTAACGGGGATCCTGGAATTATGCGACCATTGCTAACCGGCATATTTTTGAAAGCAGTCGGACTTCAACACCGGAATAGAACAACACCGGGATTTGGTCGAAGGTGCGCGACTTTCACCCTCTCCTCTCCTTCTTCATCATCATCATCACCACCACCATCATCAACAACAACAACAACAACATTACCAACAACAACAACAACAATAATAACAAAACGAAGAACAGCAACAAAAAAGTTAACTCAACAACAAGAAAAACTCATCGAAGAAACAGCGAAGAAGAAACGAAGAAATTTACACTCGATCAGCTGTTTGTTGTTGCTGTTTACGCGCTTCGAAAATGTGAATGGTGGTTAAAGTTGTGTTCTTTTGTTTATACTGTGTGCAGAGCATCCTCCGATCTGCTACTCGGTGTGTGAGTGTGTGATTGTTTTTGTTTGTTTTTCTGTTTTTTTTGTTAATTTGTGTGTGAGCGTGTGTGGACGTGTGTGCCGCCATCTACAGTCACGCACACATGAGCGCGATCTTCCCGCAAAAATAAAACTTTCGGAAACAACAACAAAAATTGTGTTGGACTAAATTTTTGATTACACAATCTCCACTGAATTTGGCGCAAAAACGTAAGTCGAACTCTGTTAATTTTGCAACATTTAGTAATTTTATTACAAGAAAAGTGTTGATCTTTAATATGAAAAAATCTGTTAAAAACGTTGCTTTTTTTTGTAAAAATGTAACAATAACATACAATACAATTAAACGTACTGAAATTTAGTTTTAAAGAAATCTAAGACGATTTGAAAGAAATCCAATTTGTTTTTTAACATTTTTTTTATTGAAATTAGTGAGTGTTAATTCTTTAAACCAAAAAAATAATATGATTTAAAAAGTTTAAGTATTTTATAAATTTCTAATTTAATTGAATTTGGCGCAAGAACGTAAGTCGAACTCTGTTAATTTTGCAACATTTAGTAAATTTATTACAAGAAAAGTGTTGATCTTGTTGATATGAAAAAATCCGTTGAAAACGTTGCTTTTTTTGTAAAAATGTAACAATAACATTTGTCGCAATGCAATTAAACGTACTTAAATTTAGTTTTAAAGAAATCTAAGACGATTTGAAAGAAATCCAATTTGTTTTTTAATAATTTTTTACTGAAATTAGTAAGTGTTAATTCTTTAAACCAAAAAAATAATATGATTTAAAAAGTTTAAGTATTTTATAAATTTCTAATTTAATTGAATTTGGCGCAAAAACGTAAGTCGAAGTCTGTTAATTTTGCAACATTTAGTAAATTTATTACAAGAAAAGTGTTGATCTTGTTGATATGAAAAAATCTGTTAAAAACGTTGTTTTTTTTTGTAAAAATGTAACAATAACATTTGTCGCAATGCAATTAAATGTACTGAAATTTAGTTTTAAAGATCTAAGACGATTTGAAACAAATCCAATTTGTTTTTTAATAATTTTTTAATGAAATTAGTAAGTGTTAATTCTTTAAACCAAAAAAATATGATTTAAAAAGTTTAAGTATTTTATAAATTTCTAATTTAATTGGAACAAATTAGTCAAAAGAAATTACAAAAAATCTAATTTTTCAATGATTAAAATAGAATATTTAAAAAAATATTACAATCCAATTGGAACATAAATTTAGTAATATCAAAATGATGATTAAAAAGTTTTAATTAATTAACAAATTTGTAACTAAGACAAGTAAATAATATCAACTTGGAAGTATAAGAAAATTTTTGTTAGTTTTTCAATTTCAATTAATTTTTATTCACAAATTAATAAATTTAATTAATATGTGAAACAAAAGATAGTTATCTTATACTTTTTTGTTTAATATACTAAAATTATGAATATTAATTAATGTTTTAAGAATCACATAACGTAGGAATCAAGTGTTGAAAGTATATTAAAATTTGAATTTTACAAGAGAAAACTGTAAAATTTTAGTAATTATTTTTAGTGTTATCTTCTCTAAAATTTATATAGAAATTTAAAAATGCATAATAATAATTAAGTTGAATAATTTCATTTACTTCATTTTTTTTTAATTTATGTTATGAGAAATATAACAAGTTTAAAAGATTTTGTGAAATTTGTAACGTATCCTAGATTTATAAAAAGAAACAAATGACAAATGGTCACTTGATTTAATTACATTTTTATATAGAATTTAAAAAAAAACATGCAAAATATTTATAATGAAAAATATCAATTTGATTTCTACTAATTGTACATTTTATTATTAGTATTAATAATGATGGAAAAAGAGTATTTTCTCTTTAAAAAATGTTAAGAATAAAAAGTTAAAAACAAAGTGTGTGCGTTGAATATACGCGGAGGTTTTGTTATTAAATTTCCGAAACTCTTGGAATATAAATTAGTGAGCATTAGACGGTGTGTGCAAGTAAGCTTATTAGCAGTAGTTTGAACTTAAACCCGCGATAAAACAAACACAAAAAGTTTCAGTTTCAGTTTTCTTTGGTCTCACCGAAAACTTTCACCCGATTCATCAAAACCTTACTTCCCAGATCCTCAAAAGAAACACACACACCTCCGGCTTTCGAGACCAACAATCAACATTACGTAACCGCACGCATCGCATAAGTGTTTTTTTTTATCACAAAATAAATATTAACGTAAAATTAATTAAGTGAAAAGTTAGAACTTTGCTGTAACGATTTGAAACTGTGTTTTCTTAACTTAAGAATTGCATCTGCAATTGTTTCAATTAATTAATTAAATTAGTTATTAATTATTTAACGGTTGGTGTAATAAACTTTATTGCGTTGTTATGACAACGTATCAATTAATATTTTTTTTGTTGTAAACATGCAATTAAACGATTAATTAAAATTTGCATGGAAATGTGAAAATGTTATATTTGCGCGCATGATAATTGTTTCGTGAATTTGAACGTGAAGTGTCGGTATTTGCTTAATTGCAAATTTTCATTCATAAATCTGCGCTAGTTTCATTAACACTTCGTTAACGGCGCCGAGGGAGGCGGATATTAACTGCTGCAGCATACACACAAAAAATAAATGAAAAAAATGTATGTGTACATGCACATAAACCGGTTTTTACTACGTGCGAGTTTATGGAATATGATGAATGCATTTTATTAAAAAAAAATTTCTGACCGTTCGTCCGAAATGCCGACAGAAAATATGTATACTTTACGACTTTTATTGCGGTGCAATTTCTGCATGTACCTGAAGCCCCAAAATATGAGAGTAAAGAGTAGAGAAAGAGAGAAAGCAAACCGTTTTTGGGGTACTTGCATTGCACTCTATACACGATTCTTCGGAAAGTTGACTATCCGAAATGGTTGGAAACGTGTGTTCTTTGGTTATTTACCCAACGAGGATTGCATAAGTCTTGAGGTAGAGAAAAAAAAAAGAGGATTAATTAATCCAAGCGGATCGTCGCTTTCGTGTCAGGCTTCCTTCTCAATGGAAATCGCGTTTATTTTATTTATATATATATATAGATTTTTTTGTACATTTGGCGAAACCGAACCGAGAGTGGATAAAGAAGGAGCAACAAGAAAACATGAGGAAAGAAGCAATGCGAAAAGAAATCATGTACCGCTAGATTAAAGCATGTGAACAACACAAACGCTTTACGGTGCAATTGCTCTGCGATTTCTTGTTTCGATTTTGTTTTATTTTTTTTGTTTTGTTTTGTTTCCATAGATATTATTAATACGCGAACGAATCGGAAACCTTGTGCCTATTTGCATACGCGTTATTTTTAACACGCCAATAATTTTGTGAAAGTGGATACGCGAAAAAAATAAATAAATAAATAAAAATTGCACGCTGAAACCAATGAAATTTCTCTGCAGGCGAAAAGAAAAGAAAATCTTTTGCTTCGATGAATAGCTTGTTATAATAATAGAAAGAAAAGATTCATATTTTTTTTTGTAATTGAAACGAAGATCTCGAACTCAAGTTGCATAATTGAATTGGATTTGTTGCAGCTTCGTTGATTAACAGTTGTAGTCATATACTGTAAATATGTTTATTTTTAGCTCCAATCCATATAGAATATGTTGCAAATATTGCTTAACTTTGATCTAGTAGTAGTGGACTGCATTTGTTTTCCATATATCATCTGTTTATTGTTGTTGTTATAGCAACATAAACAATAAGGAAGGTTTGAAGAAACTTAACATAATTGAATTATTTGTTACTGATTCATTGCTTTCTGAAACATTATTTAATAGTCTACATGTTTTGATGATAATTAGTTATGTAATTCGAAGAAGCATTTTTGTTGTTGGCGAATCAATAGCTTCAATTCTTATAGTATCTGTTGCAAACATTGCTTAACTTTGATTTAGTAGTAATTCTTCATATATCATCTGTTTATTGTTGTTGTTATAACAACATTAACAATAAGGAAGATCTGAAGCAACTTGACATAATTGAATTAGTTATTGCAGCTTCATTGCTTTCTGAAACATTATTTAATAGTCTACATGTTTTGATTATGATTAGTTATGTAATTCAAAGAAGTATTTTTGTTGTTAGCGAATCAATAGCTCCAATTCATATAGTATCTGTTGCAAACATTGCTTAACTTTGATTTAGTAGTAGTTGACAGCATTTGTTTTTCATATATCATTTGTTTATTGTTGTTGTTATAACAACAAAAATAATAAAGAAGATCTGAAGCAACTTGACATAATTGAATTATTTGTTACAGCTGCATTGCTTTCTGAAACATTATTTAATAGTCTACATATTTTGATGATGATTAGTTATGTAATTCGAAGAAGTATCTTTATTGTTAGCGAATCAATAGCTCCAATTCATGTAGAATCTGTTGCAAATATTGCTTAACTTTGATTTAGTAACAGTTGACAACATTTGTTATTCATTTATCATCTGTTTATTGTTGTTGTTATAACAACATAAACAATAAAGAAGATCTGAAGCAACATGACATAATTGAATTATTTGTTACTGATTCATTGCTTTCTGAAACATTATTTAATAGTCTATATGTTTTGATGATAATTAGTTATGTAATTCGAAGAAGTATCTTTATTGTTAGCGAATCAATAGCTCCAATTCATATAGTATCTGTTGTAAACATTGCTTAACTTTGATTTAGTAATAATTCTTCATATGCCATCTGTTTATTGTTATTGTTATGACAACATAAACAATAAAGAAGATCTAAAGTAACTTGACATAATTGAATTATTTGTTACAGATTCATTGCTTTCTGAAACATTATTTAATAGTCTACATGTTTTGATGATGATTAGTTATGTAATTCGAAGAAGTATTTTTGTTGTTAGCTCCAATTCATATAGTATCTGTTGCAAACATTGCTTAACTGTGATTTAGTAGTTGTTTTTCATATATCAGTTGTTTATTATTGTTGCAACAACATAAACAGAAGTTGCGAAACTTGTGGGGAAATCTAATGAACTACAAGAATAAAACATCAAAATTTGTTGATAAAATAAAACAGAAAGTTTCATTCAATTATCTACTTAAAATCGCCCATCCAAGTATTGTCATTAATAAACGTTGCTTAACTTAAGTAAACTAGAAATCCGCTTCAACGTCCATCCATATAAAATGTCATTAT